TATATATATATATATATATATATATATATATATATATATATATAATATATATATATATATATCTTCTTATCTATCCCCATATTAATTTTAAATTGTGACAATGTATTAAAATATTATTAGTTTTATTAAATATGACATATATGACATATGTTATTATTTAACATTGGTAGAAGGATAAATAAGAAGATTTTTTTTTTTTTTTTGTTACAAAACATATAATTTATTTTTATTTCATTGTAAATAAAGATGATGTTATTTTCGAATGTATGTTTAGGGGTGAGATGGGTACATAATTTTAATACATGGTTGATGGCGGTGATTTGGTTATGGAGATGGAAAACGTGATCACTTGTATGCATGCCCATGTTGTCAGCTCTAGGAGTTAGGATTCATTCGTCGTTCTTGTATAATTCAGTAAGTAATATTAGAACACCCCATTTTTCAATTGTTTTATTTACAACGGATTTCAAAACATTTAGATGACTTCAAGTCAGTCTTTATCAATAACAATATAACATCAGATTGTTGAGGTACTTAACTTCTAGAATTTTTCATTTTTAAAAGTAGTCACGACGTGAGTTATGCCTACTCACGTTGTGAGTTGTCATTGACCAGTTGACTCACATTTTTGAGTCTCACAACATGAGCCATTATTGGTCACGATGTGATCACAGTCTGATGACCAAAACCCTAATTTTTCGGGTATTGAATGGAATGAGAGGGCTAGGGCTGACCACCCTTAGCCTCCTTTACTCTCTAAGCCTTTAGAAACCCTAAACATGACCTTACTTGAGATCTTTAGCCATTTTGGTGCATTTTCTAGCTTGAAGAAGAAGAGAATAAGGAGGAAAAGAAATGTTCTAATGGTGGAGTTTGCAAAGAAGCAACATCATCATCATCTCTTCTTCCTGTTGGACCTTTGTAAGTGCCAAAGGTTTAAAATTTGTTGCATTGCATGGTTATATCTAGGAGTGAAATAGAACCATAAAGTCAGCAACTTTATGGGTTCTAAGGACCTTTTGAGCATCATATTGTCCATATCTAAAACTTGGTGAAGTATTAGAATCATGCATGAAAATTTGGTGCCATATTCTTACTTTTAACCTAGAATGGTGTGAGGAAATGCATTATGTATGCATGTCCGTAAAGTAAACCTTTTTTTATGGACCTTTGGGGGCCTCTTAAGCTACTAGATGAGTTAGATTTGAAGGCTATATGGATTAAGAGCTTAAAATCATGGATCTTGGCTTCAAAGCGTATTCACAACGTGAGATGCAAGGTCTCACGATGTAACAATAAAGAAACTCGTTTTCTGCTGAATTTTGGGACTCACGATGTAACTGAGATGCTCACGTCGTGAGATCAACCCTGTGAGTAACCCGTGCCCGATTTGACTAAGTCGGGAGCGAGTTGCTGGAATCGAACCTAGTAAGCTCCCACGACGTGACTAAGGGCTAGTCATAGTGTGAGACTTGATTTTGGGGATTTTGACTTGTTGACCTGGTTTGATTTTGGGCATCTTGGATGATGCGTCAAGAGAGGTGGGTCCTAGCCATGAAGGGCAAGGCCCATGTTGGGTCGTCTAGCAATGGCCAAAAAGCAAAGCCTATTGGATAAGGACTCTAAGTCTATAACTATAATTAGTATAAACTTGAATTGATGGTAGCATAGTCCTTTTTGTTTGCTCTCAAACCTAGCGAGTGGACATGATAATTTTTAGAGATAGAGAGGTTGATTTATTATTTAAATAAAGAATTAATTAATATATATTATAAGAATAATATATTAATTACAAATAGTGATATTTAATTAATAATTAATCAGAAATTAGTTTTGGGATTAATGGAATTAATTAAAAGTGCAGGGACTAAAGTACAATTGTTCAATAGTTAAACAAAAGGCTCAAGAACCTTTGACACAAA